CTCTATCATTTTCCACTTTTTTTATTATTATGATCGTGATGGAATATAGAAAGAAGATGACATGGATTTAATGCGTGATGGTCGGGAATTTCACTAGATATTAGCATACCGCTAATAGACCTTTTTTTTCGCAAGAATGATAATTATATATGTTATTAAATCATTGTATTTGTAATAAAATCAAAGTTCAATTTTTATCTGCTTTCTTTGTCCCATAAAAATAGTCATACTTTCATTTTCGTCTACCTCAAATTATATGTTACTTTTCTTATCGAGAGTATAATTGATTTTTAAATTTTCTATCATACTCTATTTAATGTACTTATTATCAATAAAAACTTGTTTGGTAGAGATTAAAATCAGATTAAAATTGAAAAACTAGCCGTTATTGTTGACTATTATTAGACGAACGGGACTCAATAACGGCTTTATTTTCGATTTTAATTCCTCCCAAACAAGCTCAATATGAATTACTCCTATTTAAATCATTATTTAGTGTAAAAGGTATTTACCGAAGTGTTCTGTAGCAAAGTCATCGTCACAACTGTCGAGACAATCCAGCTACTTGAAGTTCAAGTTCGATCTATTAGGTTCTTTGATTTTTTTCAGAAAAGAGATAGAAAAGACCAATCTGATCAAGATAGAAATTTAGCGCCACGAAATGAATCGATGAACTAAGGACGTTTCCAATACCAACAGTAGCTCTCGAAAAAAGGAAATGCAGTAGCTCGATTACCCATTTGGTTGATTATTCTTTTTCGAGTCAATGACTCGCAGAGTCAATTGCACAGTAGCATTTTGCCCTGAATTTGGGCCAAATTTGGGGAAAAATGTAAAATATATTTATTTTTTCAAGTATATTAATTATATTTTCTTAATATGTGTGAAAATAAAAACTGCTCTATCTTTATGTGACGAAGAGAATACTATTTTGACCTAGAACTTCCTAGATATATCGTATATAATGACATGGGATCATATTTTAAATTAACTTTGTAATCCACTCAAGATTTTTAAAGGATACCAACTTCGTGTTAGACCTACCTATTCTTCTACGACGAGTATAAGTAAACGTAATTAGTAGAAAATCTTACCCAAACTGGAATCGTATTACAAAACAATTTATTGAAAAAAAAAAAAAAGAATTCAACAACGAGTAATGTTATTTCTACATCATGGTTTACAAATTGATTTACATAATGATGGTGCGGATTATATTAATTGACTTCTTTTTTTTCTCTCTCTCTCTCTCTTCCATGTAGTTGAAGTTGAATTAAGAAGTCTATCTTGCGAACTCAACCCTCTAGGCGAAGTCTAAAAGAACGAAGGCGGCTAAAAACAAAGAAGGCTCACAAAAGAGGCAAGACGAACTATCACTTTATGAAGGAAAAAATCGTTATTTAAACACACGTGGGCAATGTTTGAAAAGCACGACTTTCAAACCAAATGAATAACACGTGGATTTATAGCAGAATTGGTTATCAACCCACCACTAAATGATCGCCACTTGTCACTTTCTAAAATGACCCAAAGTCCCTAGAAAAATCTACAAATACTCCATCTTAAGAGAAAGAAGGCGCGCAAAATCAAATCTCTCTCTCTCCTAACTAGCCATTCCTCTTTTGCTCCATTTTGAGTATCAAAACTAGTGAATTTAGGTATAGAAAATCCTGACTTGGTGAGAGAAATTAGTTCATCGTATTTATATTGTCAATGTCATTATTCTGTTCATCGATTTGTATATCATAATGTACAAATAGCATTAACCTAATAAAGAAGGGGCACAATTAACCCCCATTTGGGATTCATTATAATGAGTTTCTTTTTTGGGATAACGTAATTTAGAATAGTGATTTTTTTAAATAAAAAAATGTGTGATTAAAAAAGAAATATAAATTTTAGGTTTATTTATAATATTATCTTATTAAAGAATATGTTGTTAAAATGAGAATAGAGAAAAATATAGCGATTGTTTGAGTCACATCTTGAGAGAAAAAAAATGTAAATTTGAAGAAAGTGTGGTTAAAAATTTTAAAAGAAATTTTTATTTACGTGTAATATTATTTTATTGAAAAATGTATAGTTAAAATAAATTTTGAAAAAATGAATTTTCAAAAAATATGTTCATAATGTAATGGAGAGCAATCTAGGGCTAAATAAAGTCATGATGAGGTCATCCAGGCATGAGCAAGTTGGACATTGGTAGAAAAGTTACACCGAGTATCTCGCGAGGACCAATATGCGTGTGTGCATTTCTTCGCATTAGTACAATTTAAGCCATGTGAATACCAGGCATTCTCTTCTAGTCTTTCATTCCCTATACTAAATTAGTAATAAATAAAATACTATTCAAGAAATCTTTTTATAATATAGTACCTGAATAGGCTACGGAGGGAAAAAGGTCAAATCCCTTCAGACTACGGATTCCTTACGTCAGCATTGTCGAGCGGTAAAAAATATCCTTGTCTGAACTTCTTTATTTTAACCGAATTTGAAAGTTGAAATTAAACGAGACAGTAAATAGGAATATAATAATCCATGCCCTCCTCGCTTCCACAAAATTTACAACGAGATTGGGATAGGGATGGACATTGCATCCGTTACTGCATTTACTTCTAGACAATTCTTTGTCCAACTCTACCTATAGAAAGATAAATGGGAATATTTTGATCTCCATCATCCCCACCTCCAAATATCCTAGGAATAGAATAGGGATGCTTGCACTGGCTTAGCCACGTTGTCATCCCTACTTCTAACCCGTTCCATGTCCAATCCCCATTCACTCGCAAAAAGAATGATATGTTGTCAAGAACGTGCATACCAAGGACATGTAAAGCAAAATCGACATTGAAGTTTATAATTGAAACACTTTCGGTTCCATTACGTCTTTAATGTGTAATAAAGTCAAATATATTGAAAAAAGATCATACACGTAATTGATTCCAAAATTATTGATAATTAAGCTAACTTCTTTGTTGATCTCGTCATTAATGGAATTTTAATTTTCTATCAAATTTTGTTATCTTTTATCTTGAAATTTTAGTTTTTTTATTAAGTAAAATTAGTATGTACACACTATATTTGTAAAATAATTACTATTTTTACCTATAAACATAAAAAAAATGAATATTTGAAAATAAATTAAACTCAACATTAGTACCGAGGCTCGAAAAAAACATCGCGTCTCACTCCTAGACTGAAAACTGGATAATTGACTTTACGTTGACCGCCTAAGGCACACCTTTTACTGATAGGTATATTTTTCTTGTTTTGAAATCCAACTTAACATCATTGCTAAAGCATAAAAATGAAATAAAAGTAAAAATAAAATAAAATAATAATAACTACAATCCAAATCCAACATAGAATCATTAATTTGAAATATCTATGATTTCAAGAGTTACGTGTTCATTGAAAACTTGAAAAATATATAAGAATGGACAAAAGTTGTCAAATTATTGTACCTCATCAGAGGATTGGGATCAACCATTTTGATATGATTTTTTTCTCGAGTTTCACATAATACATCAAAGGCAATTCAATTTAAAGTGATATTATTTATAAACTCAAAACAAAATGATCCGCTAATTTCCATAAATGTAATTTTAGATTGATAAGAGGCTTGCGTTCCTTTTATTATTTTCAAATTAGCATTTTTTGCCCTTCAAAGTATAAGAAAAATAGAAGTGATATTGAAAGACGTTTCTAAAGATCTCATTCAAGTAAATAGTTAAGCACGTGATGTAAATTGTCGTATTTAGTTAAACTTAAAAAAATGCATATAAATTGGTGGGCCAACACACTCTCCAATGGTGGAGTGCCATGTCTCCATTATGAACACCATTATGGCACCCCTAATGTACAAGAAGAATTATCCATATAAACTGTTCAATCTTGCTAGGGTGCCGAGAGAATTTAACACCCTAGGTGACATACACTCACAGTTGGAGGTGGACATGGGGATTTTTTTGCATTTTATATTCACATGGGTCCCATGGGTGGCCCTTGCACATGTGAGAGTAGGTCATCTAAGATGTCAAATTCTTTCTGACAACATGGCTTAATTGTAAATTGCTTTAATAAATAATTAAAATACCAAAAAATTGTAGCTTAAAAACTTGTATTTGACAATAGATTATATAGAACTAAAATACAAAAAAAATGTAGTATAAAATAATAAAAACTTGTATAGTTAAATACTTCACATACACGTGTCAGTGAATTTGAGAAGTTAATATAAAGAACTGTATTGGATTAGAATTGAACAACTCGATAGTATACTTTGAGATGGAAATATGATTCCATTTCCAAACAATTCATCGGTGCTCGATTCGGTTCTGTTTAGAATCATCCAAAATCGACGTCACTCTTAAAACTATGGATGAAACTTCTACAAATATATTATTAATCTGCAATATTTAAAATAATATTAAAAATTGAAAAACAAATGGTAAGATTTATGAGCTTGTTTGGGAGAGATTTTTGGGGGAAGAATTGATTTTGAATAGTGATATGATGGGAAATGTGTGGTTGAAAAAGAAGAAAAAATTATTGATGTGATGGAAAATATTATTTTATTGAAGAATGTGTGGTTGAAAATGAGAATTGATTTACTGTAGAAAAATTTAATTCCTCCCAAACAGGCCTATAATTTGACCTCCACACCTTTCTAAAATGCTTTTTATGACCTTTACCATGCGTCATCACTCATCATCATTGAGCCTCTCTCTTACACAAACGAAATATAAATAAATGAAATGCGGCATTTCAAACCTCTTCGCTTATCCTAAAGCCTTACGGCCCTTAGCTCTCTCCCCCTCCCCATAATCCGAAGAAAACCCTCTGTCAAAATTCAGAAAAAAGTTAATCTAATGAGCCGGTGATTGGATTCGTACTGAGATCGCTCAGCCGCCTCAAGAAACCCTAGATCCCTACAATTTTTTGTAGAATAATTGGTTTTGTTAAGGATCTGCAAGTTTATAGGGTTTCTAAGAGCCACCATGGTGGGCCCAACACCGCAGATTGAATCAGCTGCTGCACCACCACCACCACAGACAGCGACAGCATCAGCTGAAGAAGAAGCGATTAAGAGAAACACAGATTGCGTTTACTTTCTCGCTTCTCCTTTAACTTGCAAAAAGGTTCTTTTTTATGTATTTTGTTGAAATCTTTTATTTTACTCGGAGTATGTATTTGTGCTTGAATGAATTTATATAGATTTTCTGCACGTGTTAGATCTTTTCAGGAGATATATTGAAATTAATGGTTGAGGATCTGTGAAGTTCTTAGGGATTTAAGGTTTTTTCATCTTACTTTTGTATATGAATTGTATGAGTACCTTAGGTGTTGGATTTTTCCCCTTAGGTGATGGATTACGTGAGGTTTAGTTTCATTCTTGAAAAACCCCACAATTTTGCTTGATTTCTTTTCCTCTAGGTCTTTTAATATTTAAGGTTATAAATTATTATGTATGATTTTCTTATACTGATGGATTCATTTTGTTTTTGTTTTTTTTTTTTCAGAACGCCTATCAATTTACGAGTATAAGATATATATAGATCTCTCCATCCATCCAATTCATATCTTTCGAGATCCACCGTACTATAATGAAATTTTCACAATAAATGCAAACCCCTTTGACAATGCACTCATGTATCTTAGAATATATCTACGCCGCTTGTGTGTATTTATGTATTATATATGCATGTATATGTTCTAGTGTTATTGAGTGTGTCTCTATTAAGAAAGTGCTGGTGTGTGAGGTTCAATTCTTGGAATGAAATTCCATTGTGTATAAAATTTATTTGTTTCTATTTTAGGCAAGTTTTCTTGTTTGGGAACAAAAAACACAGAATATCGACGGGCAGTTAAAATGGTAGTTTAGTTGTAAAATTGACCAATACAATGATTGATCACAAATTAGGTTTGTCGATTACTCATAAAAACATTATGTGCTGCATGTATTTTTGTTCTTATTGTGAGTTTGTTGGTTTTGTCAATTTGCTATTTATGCAGCCTATTAATTGTTCCAGTTTCCTGCTAACTGGTGTTTGTCGCTTTTCACGTTTAATGCGATAATTGATTGCACGCTCTTGTCCAAATTAAGGGTTGCATGGAATCTGGCTCCCTGGTCTCAGTATTAGTTATTATTATTGTCTGCCGAATGATATGCTTTGGTTAGAAATTTCTTGCCTTTGACCACCAATGCACTTAAAAATAAAATGAATTCAACAGATTAAGCCTGTTACTTCAGATATTGGTTCAAAAGACGTACATTTGCTGAAATGCCAGTAATTACTGATTGTATTGACTATTTTGAATCCTATATGTATTCTTTGTTAATCTGAAATATCCTTTTCAATTAAAGATTTCTATTGGCATTATTTCCATCACGTTGAAATATGAGTGATGTTTAGTGGGTCAGTACATTATTGTCGCTTGCAAAAGCTTATGTTGCATTCTGTATCATGCTTTAATAAGTTCTGCTGCCTGATCTTTTTCCCTTAATATTTACGTTCCACTTATTCTTTGACAACAGGGAAGTGAGTGCGAGTATCGCCACAGTGACGTTGCAAGGGTAAACCCAAGGGACTGTTGGTTCTGGTTACATGGTAATTGCCTGAATCCCAAGTGTGGGTTTCGTCATCCGGTGAGTCTTCTCTTTCTTGACGTAGATGGTATTATTTTATCAACTTTGTGCTTTTAGCCCCTGTTTGGCCCCCATTATTGTAGATTTTTAGGGGGTTGAAAATTTTTAGAATAGTGATTGATGGGAGATGTGTGGTTGAAAAGTTTTAGATTTGTGTGTATTATTATTTTATTTGATGAATGTATGGTTGAGATGAAGAGAGAGAAAAATTTAATGTAATGTAATGAGATATAATGGGGGGCAAACAAGGGCTTAAGTAGATTGAAATCATGCAAATGTAAATTGATATTTTTTGGTGATATCACTATTTTTAACTATTAGTAAATGGGTATTGATCTTCTTTTGTTCTTCAGCCGCTGGATGGACTGCTGGGGACACAAGCTCCAACTTCTGCTCCATCTGCTGTACCTCCATTGCAGACTGCCTCTACACCTTCTCATGTTCCAAATGCCTCGGGTAAACAAGGGGTGCCCTGCATATTCTTCCAGAAAGGATACTGTTTAAAAGGTGACTGGTGTCCATTTTTGCACGCACCGAATTCTGTGAGTAACAAAAATACACAGGCGTCAGGAATGTCTACTGCTGAGCCTGCATCTTTTCAGAATACTTTTGGTGGACCTGAAAAGTGGACACAAGGAAAGAAAGTCCCATCTAAAACTGTAGAAAAATCTGGTGAGTTACCTTTACATACAAAACCAACTATGAAAGTGGAACCTGCTCCACCGAGGAATGAATTTGCTGTAGGCAAAAAGACACTAACGACATTGGAGATGAATGAAGAGTTTTCCAGCTACATACCAACAAGTATATCACCTTTTAATAATGGAAAGCAAACCAGCAGGACTATCTCTGTTAAGCAGTCTCATCCGTTGGATGAACATGTTAGTATGAACAGTAAGGATGCAGAAGAAATTTCGAGAGAGCCTTCCCCTGGTTTTGATGTTCTCGTGGATGATGAACTAAGAGATTCTGATTACTATCCCGGTGAAGATCACTATGGAATGACTGGGGATCACGAAGGTAGGAATGAATATGACATTGGCCATACTGCTGATTACAATTCAATCGTTGATGTTGACCATGATATGTATCGTGATCCTCGTGGTTATGACTCATATGAGCCCCTTCAAGGTCAATATGCCTGGGAGCAGCACAGGGCTTCATCTGAGAGGATGTCAGGAGGGTCTGCTTACCAGAAAAGGAGACATGCTAGAGTCGGTAGCCCTGATCCAGTTAGTGAAGCAGATCTAAGGAATCATTTATCAAAGCACAGAAGAGGTAATGGTTTGAGGTCTGTCATCAGTCAAGAATATGCACGTGACAGACACGAGGATCAAGGATACAAGGTTACAAGTAGGGACACACAGTATTTACCCCCACAGGAAAGTTCTCTTAGCAGTCGCCTTCGTGGAAGAATAAAGCTTCCAGGGAGATCTTCTCCTTTAGATGGAAGGGACTTGCATGGTGATAGGGACATAAATAGAGGACCAGATCATGGTAGATCATCTTATGGAAGGACTCAACAGTCCTCTCACCATGGAAGGCTTGGAGACAGAGTAAAGGGGAAGGAGGAAGATGATTTTAATACTAGTGGGAAGAATAATAGAGGTGTGAACTTTAGAAGAGAAATGAAGGGTGACAATATTACTGACTTTGCTCGTCCAAAAAGTCTTGCAGAGCTTAAAAGCAAGAAAAATGGTGAGACTAGCGAGCAGCAATCACTTGGGAAGAGAAAACACACTATGCTTGATGGCTATCGACAAACTGGTGGTGATCTCCCATTTGAAGGCCCCAAGCCTCTGGAAGAGATTCTGAAGCAGAAAAGAGGTGAAATAGCTTCCTCAGGTAATTATAAAGACAATGATCAAAACGAAGAAGGATCGCGGAAAATGACAAAGATTACTTCGACTGTGGAGGATCAGCTTGCTCTTTCCTCCGCACCTGTTAATGAGGACTCCAAGTCTGCATCAGGCGATAATGGTGGAGCAGAAAAATATGGGTTAAGTGATGCTAGAGAGCTTGAAGCTGAAGATGGAATGATAGTTATGGATCGGTTAGATGACCAAGAACATGAATCATATGAGCAGAGGGATGGTGCGTCTGATTACGAGCAAGTGGATGGAGAATATTATGAGGACTTAGACGAAGGTGAAATTGGAGAAGCTGAAGAGGAATACCCTGATGATGAAGATGGAGACGAATTTGCAAAGAAGATGGGTGTCATGTACTCTTGAGGAGGATAAATGTTGGATTTATGGCATTTGCTGTTAATTCAATTTGTTTAGAAGCTTTGCAGGCTTTGTTTTGATTTGCTCTGTGTTGGCAAATTCAATTTTTTCTCTACTGGAGTTTAGAAGTAGAGTAGAACCCTCCTCTTTATCATCGTAAACTTTTTATTCATCGTCTTAAAAGTCTTGACTGGACGATACTTCTCTTCCATTGTATGGTTTTGGATAGTTAATGATTTTCTTTGACTGCAAGGGTCGTGGCTATTGTTAGAAGATCAATAACAAAATAGTGTTTTTTGGTATCTATTTGTTGAGGTTGATGATTTTATTTTATAGATCTAACGACTGAAATAGAGTGAGATGATTGATTATATAGTGAACCTTGTTAGATATATGACATAGTTTATTTCTTTTGAATGTGGATTAATTCAAAGTGAGTTTAGATTTTGATTGTTGCTTTCTTGCGCAAATGTTTTCTAATGCAATAAAATGATGTTTATTTTGGTGTTTCGCTGTTTTGTGACTTTAAATACATTTTCCTTAGATCAGTTGTTATAAATTGGAAAACTATCAGAAAAATATGATTATTGCACCCACCATTAACTGATTTCATGAAGATTTTGATTTTGATTTTGATTTTCCATGACTAGATTAAAAGTTCAATGTATTTTGCAATTTATTTTTTATTTTTGAAGTTTCACCATCCACCAAAGTCAGTGATGTAGTAAATTTTTGGTCTTACTATTTAATTTTCGCTCTTATTATTTAAGTTAGGTCTTGATCTCTTATATGTTGCAACTTAGATTAAGAAAATATAGCGTCTAATTCAAAAAGCAACATAACTATGTTAAAACCAAATAGGGGAGGCAATTTTGAAAGACATAGGCGTTTTAGCATCCGTAACTTATAAATCGATATATAAATAGTCAAAATTCATAAGTATTATTCACCTATCCATCGTTTTCTAACTATCTATTAATTGAACCATTCATACATTCTTTTCAAACAGAGGCTTAGATGTTTTATTATCAAAAGAAATATGTCTGAGAATTTTGAAAAAAGTAAAATGGGTCAAATAATTATGTAATTGCACAACACCTAAACAGAAATAATTGTGCCTTGCTGCGTTGATTTACATGATTTATCATATTGTCCTAATGGTAGGCGACCATGTCACCTTGGCTATTTTGAAATTATTGCAAATGAATAGAGTTCAAAAAAGAATTGGTCAATACTCGATATAATTAAGGAACAAGAGAAATTAAAAAGATGATTCTGGATAGACAGTTGTATCCTAATACAAAGTTAAAGGCACATAGAATTTGGAGAACTCGAGATGAAGTTCTAGTTACTAGAGTTGGATCAAGAATTGCATTAAAGTCAGCACAAAGTTGACATCAAAATCTGCCAACTATTAAAATACAAAAGACTTAATACGTCGATTTAGAGACTATGAAATTATTCTCCTGTCCACAGTGAACAGGATAAGATTGCCCACCCATTGATATGATAAGAGAACCCTACTTACGATTCTCTCTAAATGTGAGAATCGTAAATAAGATTCTTTCCAAGTGAGTAAGATAAGATTTTTCACGGTAGACAAAAGAACATTTCTGTTAGGGACTAACCTCTAAAAAACTTACAAACCAAATGCAGAGATTAAGCGCCTGATAGAGGCCTTACGATGCTCAAGCCAGCCAGGTAATTTGAACAAAATGCGCCACAAGACAAAATTGTGATGTATTATGACAGCATAGATCTTATAGAGATCCAACTTCGTTTGCCTCGAGAACATGGAAGAAAATGAAATTCTTATCCTACCCATTTAAAGAGTGATCAATAAATCATGCCTAAAAATGAATGCAAAATGGAGTTCTATCTCCAGATTACTCCGATGACGGGCAAGTAGCTAAAAGAAAGAGGGAGAGAGGCAACGGCAAAAGCTCGGACCTGCCAAGTGGACGAATTCAATTTGGAGAAAAAACGATTAGGGTCCATAGTAAGGGTGGAAAATAGGTGGAAAGAAAATGTTTTATAAGGGAAATATTTTCCTAGAAATTGTTTTCCAAGGAATTATTAATTAAGTGTGTTTGATTGGTATAATTTTCCACCCGAAAAATTTTTAAATTTTGTGTTCGTTTGGCTTTGTTTACATGGAAATTGTCCATTAAAGTGATAATTTTTTCCACAATTAGTTATAAAATTTGTTTCCATTGCTAAAAAGTTAAAAAAAAA